AATAAAGCTCATGATAAAATATGAAATGAAAAGATGACATCTCAACCCTTTCCTCATGGACGTGTCTATATCCAAAAACTGTGTTCTACACATAATCTTGATCATGTAATAAAATTAAGTCACATTTACATACCTTAATATATGTAGCCATTTTCTGTTTGGGGTTATTAAAATTTTTAATTAGCAAGAATAATGCCTCAGTAAATACTTTACAAATAAATTTTAGGTTATATGCTTTATTGTGTCTTTGGGACAAATTTCTGAAGGAAAAACTGTTACTTCAGGGTTATAAAGACTCCAGGGCTTGGGTAGCTGCTTTGTCAGAAAGCTGTGTTAATTTGCACATCCACCTCCAGTGTACGAGAGTGTATGCTCCTAAGACCTATCTAGTACTTTTTAATTAAGTTTATTGGTACAGTTTAGATATACATAATGGTCACTTTTTTAAAAACTATGTTACTAGAAATATAAAAATGTTCATTTTATATCACTGTATGTGTTCTTCTCACAGTTACTAGACTGACACATTGCCGGCTGCGCTGAGGGCATTTTCTCACAGTTATGATGGGTATTAAATATTGTTTTTCAGTGTTAAATCTATCCTTTAAAATCTGGCTTGGTGATACTGACTGAAGTTGGGAGTTCTGCAAATTATTTCCCTTTGGCCAGCTATTCCTCTGAAAATTTGGAATAAATAAATGCTCCAAATTCTGGTACTTTTTGAGCACTGATAGGACACTCAACTGGAAAATTCTACACTTGACTTCATGTGCTCTATTGCAGTCAAAACACAGGAACACTAAAAATACCACCTTTGGGCTATGCATAAAAGGTGTGCATGAAATATACATGAGGTGTATGCTTAAGTTTAGGTGCCATCTCCAAGATATTTCATTGTGTATATACGAATATTTAAAAAGCCAAAAATGCTAGAAATCTGAAGCACTTCTACCCCAAGCATTCTGAGACTCTGGCTGCAATATTACAGAGAATAGGAGGGAGAAAAGACTGCATCTTCCCTGTCTGTCTAACCAGTTGGCCTGTAGCGACAGTTCTTTGCCCAGGAAGCAGCAGCTACGCATAACAACTCTGATGCCACTTGCTTTCCGTACATCCAGAAAGATGCTTTGCCCTTCAATGATATGGGCACCTGCAGGACAAAGTTATGCAAGTTCTGGGTCTCAGTTACATAAGGGTTTCATGAGCTCTGCTTGTGAGAACACCGGACTCTTCCTCATCTCCCCTAAAGGGACTTGAAATGTTAAAACAAAGGTTTAGAAAGCTCTTTTAAAATGATTGGATCATTTTTAAGTTTCTTATTAGTTGGAGCATGCAGATTACATAATTTTGTACTCATTGTCAGTGGGGCCACATTATACACATACCTAGTTAGAATACTCAGAAGTATGGCCTTTGATTTCTTCATGTCTCCATTTTGCAAAATTTCTGAAATGAATATGTACTTTTTCTATAACTCCAAAAAGTCTTGGAGGAGGAGGTGCATGAAAAGCAAGAATGTCTATAGTAAAAGACTCATTCTAAACATTACTGATGACAGTGAATTTAAGTTTCGTATGATATAAAACTGTTGAAAAACTGCATTTTCAACAAGTTATGTTGTAATGGTGGTTACATACAATTATAGTCATAGTTTCAGGAAGTTTTGTTGGGCTGTTACAAGAGTCCTTAGAGTCAAAGGTCAACCTAAGACAAGGGTTCCCAAGCTTGTCTGCACATTACAATCAAATGATGAGCTTCCCAAAATCTCAAAGCTCAGCCATGTTTCAGACCAATTACACAGTCTCTGGGGGTGGATTCTTGGCATCTTTCTATATTTTCTTAGGCTTCTCAGGTAACTCCTAGGAGCAAACAACTTTGAGATCCATCACTCTAGGAGTGCAGTTCAACAAAATAGACTAATTAACATTATATAATTTTCTATAAGTTTGCTCTCAAAGAATAATCATTTTTGCACTCTCTAAAGTTCTTGCTGCTAGCCAGGCATAGTGGAGCATGCCTGTAATCCCAGCACTTGGGAGGCTGAGGCAGGAGGATCATTCAGAGATTGAGGCCAGCCTGGGCTACAAAGTGAGCTCAAGGCCAGCCTGAACTGCACAGCGAGACCCTGTTTCAGAAATAAATAAATAAAAAGTTCCTGCTGCTGATAACAATAGACAATGATTTTATCTTTTTGATGTTGAGTGACCTACATTTCTGTCATTGGATAAAGGCCTAGAAAGAAAATGCATTCCTTGAATTCATTTGGTGCATTAAAAGAAAGAAAAAAAAACCTTTATCCTTCACGGGAAAAAAAATCTCTAACGGGTATTTTGGTTCCCTGGTAAGTAGGTTGGTTTGTTTAGAATGGCTTATAAGTGGCATTTAAAGGTGTTGAAACAGCTGCAGTGCTCAAAAAAGTGTGAAATTCTTTTCTGCTTTTACAAACACTAGAGAAAATATCACTAGCATCCGAAGCTTTCCCCTGAATGCCCTGCAATCAGCTGAAAAAGTGCTGGGTTCACCACGGCAAAGTGTTTTCCAAGCAGACTGAAAGATGCTATAAATGCAACAAAATGCTTGGTGAAAAGAGGATAAAATAAAATATAAATTTCTCTTTTGAATTACCTAGCAAAAGCTAATTTCCATCCACAAAAGAGGAAAAAGATTTGAATGTTTGGGAAACAAGAAATCAGAATTTAAAATGCCTTGATTTGATTTTTGTGCTTTACATTCTTGCAAATCAAAGAAGAATAAACTCAAGAGAAGGAAGAGAGAGAAAAGCAAAAGGGTGATCTGTAGACTTCTTCCATGTAAAGGAGTTATTCTTCTTAATGAGTACTGTTCCTGTAAGTAATGAGATGAATATGAAATCTGAACGAATGACTAATGCTAAATAAAATAAGAATTGACCCGGTCCACAGCTATTTATTGAAGTGAACCCAGGATACGCCCCTCCGCGGCTGTGGCCTCCCATGCAAAGTAAAATGAATAACTGGTTCAGCTCAGCTAATTCAGACTGCAAATGCAACGCTTGACTCAGTCATCAGAATGTTTCAGGATAAAATTATTTCTCTTGTGTTTTCCACTCCATTTGCAAATATAGCTTAAGATAATGTATTCACAGACAGATCTCTTTGCTTTATATATTTCCTATAATTTTCATACGATCTGAGTAAATATTTGAGGGGAAAAACTGCCCATTGCTTATCTACACTTTATTATTTAATTTTTTTTGCATTGGAAGGGAAATTGTTTTCACTTTTTTCATAATTGCACATACTTTCATGAGTTCATTTCTTCGAAATCATTTGCTAAATTCTTACAACGTGCAAGGCATTTGGATTACATTCAGTTCAAACACTGAAATGGTATGGATGTGGTGAGATAATATACTGATATAATTAATATATGATGGTTCTATTTTTTTTCTTTTTGCATTTTGCCCACAATAACAAGATTCATAGTAGTCCCTTGTCTTGGAGATTTTGTTGATTGGGGATAAATTGAAACAGCATGAATCTATGGCTTGTCAGGAGTGTAGATTTATATGGAGGGTCTTGTGGGAATTGTTCCCAGGTTCTGGGTATTCTGAGCAAAGAATTAAGCAGGACACTCAGAAGGAGGAACAGCAGAAAGATTTATTGATAGCGAAAGAACCAGAAATGCACTCCACAGGATGGGAACAGACTAGTGAAAAGAGCTCACAGCCCCATGGGTGAAGCCACTGGGTCTCTTAAGGCCCTGGGATCATGGGAGGATGTAGATTTACTGGGGATTGACAATCGTAGTCCAACAGGGTACCTGACTTGGCCCACCTGGGCAGAAGGGAGAGTTTTTAACCACACAAGCTCCGTTTAGAGGAAGCATCTGTACTGACCAACACCAACTCCATCCTGACTTGCCTGTCACTGTTAGTGACCGGTAAACAACTTTCTCTTCCAAAAAGAAAGTGAAGGCCTGTTACGGTTTGCGTCTAGATATCCCCTTAAACCTCCTGAGGTCAGAGGTGTGATTGATTCCCAGTGCAATGGTGGGATTAAAGGGTGCTGGGAGATTGGATTGGTACCGTCCCAACCCCAGTAGACTGGATACAAATAGGGGACAAAAAGAAGCTTGTCTCCCTCCCTTTCTTGCTACTGTTGCTGTCTTCCAACACCACGAACTGTTGCCCCTCTGCCATGCCACCCTGCCTTGGAACCAGCTGATTATGGACTGAAACCTCCACAAACTGTGCGCTAAATAAACCTTCCCCCACTTAACTTTGGCTGTTGGGTATTTTGTCTCAGCAACTTCTGGTGGTGCTTTGGATTTACTATGCCAGGCTACTGGACTTTGTGTGACCCCTTCGGCTGATGTGGTAAGAAGTGTTCCACAAACCTGGTGACTCACAAATGCTCAGCGTGTGTGTGTCTCTGTTTGCACGACCTCTTGATTACTTCTGGGTGGTGTGTGATGGTGTCATGGCTTCCAAAGCGCAGGGAAGGTGCTAGTGGTCAAAACTGCAATGCAGATGAAATTGGACGGAGGCCAGGGTCATGTACTTTTGGCTTTGCCCATGCCTGGGGATCCCGAGGGCACAAGATGACCTTTATCTGTTGGCTTTCTGATATTTTGCTGTTGTCATCTGTGCTCTGTCTGGTCTCTTAGATTTTTTCTACCATGCTTCTTCTTGTTTATTTGTCTTTGCTTTGCCTCTTACCCCGAAGAGACAGAATGCACTTAAAACTTAAACCGGGAGATGTTAGCATAAATAATAGCATATTCCCTGTAACAATAGCGGATGGTACAGGAGAAACAAAGAATTCCAAAATTGATGCTAGCAAACGTTTTCTGTCAACGGCCAGATAGAAGGCTTTGTGGACCATTAGGTCCTTAAGAACTATTGTCTTCTGCCGTTCCCCCAAACCAGCCAATGAAAAGTAGGAATGAAGGCACTGGGACTGTGTTCTCATAAATCTTTATTTACAAAAACCAACAGCTGGTATTAGCTGATGCCCCCGTCTGAGGGGGCATGAGCGGAGAGGATTTAGGACAGGACCCAGGGAAGCGGCACCGTGGAGAGCAGTTTCCTGAGGGTAGGATTCACAGGCACCAGGGAAGACGCACCGGGAGCCCAAAGGACGGTGAAGGGCGCTGCGCAAGAGCTCTCGGAGCATCACCACTGCGGTGCAAGCGGGCCTTGGGGCTGGCACTGAGGGTGTGGGGGTCTGGGAGGGAATTTGTTGGCAGGGTTGCGGGATAACAGGACACCTGCGCCCTCATCGGGAAGGCCAGAGAGAGGCGGCTCCTGGGCTGAGACTGCACAGTCCGGATGCGTGGCTGGATCAAACCTGCTCTGGGAGGAAGCAAAACCCGGCAGCTCTCAGGAGCCAGGGAGAGAAACTGTTTCCTTCGGCAATGTCCCTCCAGCGCCCTCTACTGACAAGTTTAGTGCCATGCTTGCTGCAAAAGAAGCTGGAGTCTGGGCTTCGCTGCAGAGCATGAAAGAAAACTTGGAGCTGAAAGGTAATAAACTAATCATTGTGCCGGGGTGAGGAGGAACTGAACTTCATTACCCAGCTCCTTTCATCTGGGTCTCGTTTGCACAAATCTCGTCTTGTGCTGAGGCTGCTGGGGAAGGGAAAACTCCTCTGATCCTCCAGTTTTCTGTCCGCTGAGGACTCCCCTCAAAACGCGCAGGGTAGCGACCTGCGGAGCCCTTCAAGTCGGGTGGTGCCGGCTTGTCACTGTGGTGCCAGACCTTCTCAGTCGGTCCAGGTGTGGGCTCTGTTTCATCATCTTTGGAGTTTGAGATCCACGCTTTAAATAAATGTAAATGTAGTGACACGTTTGCATGTGCACATCTATTTTCATTTCTTCAAAAATCACCACGTTTCAGAAGACTGGGCGATTTGTGGAGAACAACAAACCTACACCACATTCTGGAATAACTAGGGGACAGAATGATTTGCTTCCAGTTCCAAAGTCTGACCTTCCTTCCCCTGAAAGCCCCCTCCCTCTTGGGCATCAAGGTGTACGTGACTAACGCGTGTACTGCTGTAACAGCCCCGGTACAACACACATTTGCTTTCCATTTAGCTCCTTTTTCTCAGAGCCGGATGAGGAAAATTGCGCTCCCTCTAGGAATAAATGCTTAGTGTGATCAGACCAGCCCCCTAGAAATAAAGATTCAAATTACTTTATAAAGAACAGTGGTAAACGTGACAAGCTTTCTGTGCTAGGAAGTATCCTAAGTACTTTATGCACGGAGAATTATTTAATCCTCTGTGTTAAGCTTTCGTCACTCTGACAATATACTTGAGATAATCAGCTTATAAGGAGGAAACATTTATTTTGATTCACGGTTTCAGAGACTTTAGTCCATGGTTGGTTAGGTGTGTTATCTTGGGCCCATAGTGAGGCAATGCATCATGGTGCAAGTGCATGGCAGAGGAAACTGTTCATCTCATGTAGCAGGGAAAGGGAGAGATAGGCCAGGGTCTTAATGTTCCCTTTCTGGGTATGCTCCCTACTGCCTAACTTCCTTCTACTAGGCAAAGCTTCCTACGGATTCAGCCATCTCCCGGAGGTACCACAGGCTGGTACCAAGCCTTTAGCATATGGACCTTTGAGGTTTTATGTACAACATCCAAACCATAGCATCCTCAGAGGATCCCTAAGTACAATTATCATCACTCTATAGATGAGGTAATCAAAGAGCAGAAAGCTTAAAAGACTTCCCTAAACCCAATGGCAGTGATGCATGGAATTGAGGCACCTAAGCTTTAACAATCTCTATAGATCACTGCGATACGGAGAGGGAATTGGAAACCACTTACAAAGAACTATGTACACTTGAGATGTACTTCTCCATCTATAAAACTGTATATTCAGTTATATAAATCATAAAAATAAAAAAATTCCACTTGGGATTGTACAAAAATCTTACTTTTAGTAATCTTTTATTGCTTCTGGGTTAAAATAAAAATATCTGTGATAGTTTTCTTCATGTGTTTGGTATTCCCACAGGTCCACAAAGCTTTTTAGCTGGATGTTGCTACTACAGGACTTGCCTGAAGCAGAATATCTGCAAGAGGTTACAACTGAGGTTGCTGTGGGCATTGTTGCAGCCAATGTCAATCAACAGTGTTACAGGAGCCTAAGATACTGTATCAGATGGTGGGAGATAGATATAGGTATGTAGATAGATAGATAGGTAGATGATAGGTAGACAGACAGATAGATAATAAATGGATGGATGGATGGATGGATGGATGGATAGATAGATAGATACATAGATAGATGATAGATATAGACATAAGTATAGATAGGCACAATTATGTACATATGCATATATTATCTTCATCCTGATACTATCAGCTTGTGATGCTATAAAGAGTACTTGAGCCTAGATACTTTATAAGAATACAAATTTATTTCTCACAGTACCTTCAGCTGAGAAGGCTAAAATCAAAACACAGGTAGGTTCACTATCCGCTGAGGGTTGCTCTCTGCTTCCAAGATTACATCTTAAATTCTGTATTCTCACCTGGCAGAAGGTGGAATGACAAAATGACCATAGCTACTGTCCTCCACCCCTTTTATAAAGTGCCTCATTCCGGTCATTAGGTCTTTGCCCACATGATTTAATCAGCTCCTAAATTTCTTAAGACTATCACAATGATAATTAAGTTTCAATGCATGAATTTTAGAGGACATTCAGACCATACACTGTATGTGTGTGTGTGTGTGTGTGTGTGTACATTGTGCATATCCTGATGATTACAATTTGTTTTCTCCCAAGAGTAGAAGTCCTTCAAAATATCACTGTCCAAATCCAAACATAAGTAATAATTATTGCATTGTTAAAAGGGGCTAGTCTTTTAAAGTACTGATTCAATTCCACATATCTTTAGATATTCTTTCATGATAGTTTTCTTTCAACTTCTCAACTAGATAGTGTGAAGTAATATACAACTAGTAGAGTTCTAAATTTTATAGTGCCTAATTAAAGATATTATGAGTTTAAGGCAGAAAGCAGAAGTGCTTCAGAAAGAAATTTGGAATGATTTTACTTTTCAAAAGTGTGTTTTTCTCTCACAGACATCCTTCAGGTAAAATAATAAGAGTGAGTTTTAAATGTGAATATTTAACTTTCAATTATTTGTCAAACACCATTCACGTGCAACCCCTGTAATGACCCAGCTTATGCGCATTGTGGCCATCTTGAGTGGTAACTGCCGTTATCGCCTTTGAGTAAACCTGTTCTCTTAGTTCGAATGTTCTGTCCCTGTGTTCTGACCCCTCCACTACCTTCCCAGTACCCATTCTGCTATTGATTTTCGAGTACTGACTTTGTATCCCCCTACTCCACTGAATTCCAGCATCCATTCTGGCTTGCTCTTATTAACTCCAACTCCATCTTTGGATCTTTCCAAGGAGAATTTCCTTGGAACTTATTTATGATTCTCATTATAGATATAGATATGACCTGGGTCTTCCTTCATAGTTCCCACCTCAGCTTTTCTATGCAGATATTGATCAGTGCTCATCGATTACTAGGTAGCTCCCCCACGAGGCTCTGAGAACTATGTGGCTGAGATTGTGTCTATTGGGACTCAACATTGAGTCCTAAGAATTCATGTGGAAGAGAGCATATACTAAGTGCTTCTAGACTTCTTTGAGTGAATGGTAGTTTACTGGTTAACTTTGTTAGCAACAATATTCTATGCACCGAGTACTATCATAAGAAAGTTGCTCATCATTATCTTTATATTCTTGTCCTACTAATATTCCCAAGTGACCTCTTCGACATGGGGTTTTGATGCCCATTAAAACTGATAATTCTCAAATTTGCTTCTAGCCCTTATCCAGGGCTGAATCGGCCTATGCAGCATGGCTTTGTGTGAAGTAAAAGCTATCACTCTGTCAAGTAAGAAAAAATACATGTTACATATTGCATTACCTGAACAGGTTGGGGGAGATATGCACGAGTCCACCCACTCCCACTCCCGCTTCCCACTGTCCCAGACGCCAAGGTCTCACCTGCCTCTCCTGTGCGCACGCTACATTCCCTTTTCATGCAGACAGACGAGATGGCAACATCAAGTTCAGTGTAGCAAGCAGTGTCAAAAAACAGAGCTCTGAAAGACAGTGTCAGGTGCACATCAAAGCATCCCTGAGGTTTCCGAGTCAGATTGGGACCGGATGTGGTCCATGGCGCAGCCGCAGATGATGCATCCGGGATGTCAACAGTGTCCTTCCGGTGCAGGCTGTGCACCAAGCAACCGTGTGCTGGATGCAGCCTTTCTCTCCCAGTCAGCAGACCGAAACGTTGCACGGGCTGCAGGAGTCTCTGCTTGAATTGTTCTTCAGAAACGTTGGCTGCTTGCGATCCTCCCCTCAGTCTCCTCTCTAGAAACCTGTGAAGCCCTTTTCCTGGCCACTCTTCAACCTCAGTATCTAGTTAGACACAAAATATAAGTTATATTGCAAAAGCGTTCCTTTCAGATGTATTTTCCAGTCTTTGCTGACACTGTTTTTCCATTTAAACCTGCATCATCTCTCCCCAGGACAGCTGAAATCTCCTTCTGGTATTTTTTCCATCTATATTTCCTCCTTTTACTCCAGAGGAATGGTCAATTTAATTATTTTACTCAGAAAATACAGTAGATCATCTCATCCCCCCAATTGAAAAACAACCCACCAAACCAACAAAAAGTCCTGCTGCACCTTATTGATTATTGAGTAAACAGTGCACGTTTTAGTGTGGCAAATAGAAATCTTCATAACGCAGTTCACTTTTCAGATCACCTACTTTGTCCCTATCTGACCCTCATGAGTTTTTCCTGGATTCTGCACACGTCAGGTCCTTTCATAAAGCTGCTTATGCAGAAGGTCTTCCCATTTCCCATCTCCCTTTATTTAATTGATAAACTACAGTTCACCTCTAAGACTCATCTCACAATTAAGTCCTGGGCTGAAGATTTAGCTCAGTGGCACAGCACTTGCCTGGCAAGCATGAGGTCCTGAGTTCGATTCCCTCTACCCAAAAAAATTTTTTTAAAGATAAAACATGTATTTAAAATATTAAGTCCTAAGTACAAAGTATCCAGCACTGTTGGAAGAACCCTTTGCTCAGGTATCTCTGCTGCACCAGCACTTTTTGCATATCTCTGTAGTATTATTAAACTATGATACTATAATTTATTTATGTCTTTCTATCTTCTGATCAAAATACACTGTGAGCCCCTCAAGAGCAAAGACACTGTATGTTCATTAAATCTCTATCTTTCTATCTCCTACCCTCCTTTACTTTTAATAGCAAAGTGTTTCCTCTAAGTGTGTATAACTGTTTCTCAAACTAATAATTTGACATAGAAGAATAGGCAAGAAAAACATAGTTGTACCAAAGTTCATGATAGTGCCTTCTAGAAAGGCTCCTGAATTGAAAACTACAAGTCTCCAAAAATATCACTTTCTAAATCACTCATGTTAACCCAGATTCTAATTATTTAGCCAATAACGGATGATGCATTTTGGTACTTGGTCATTCAATTCTATAATAGAATGGACTCTCCCCTTTAAGTTCCTACACTTTCCTTCTTCATTTTTCTCTCTTTTCTTGACAGCTCACAATCTATTTCTGAGGCTCCAGAAACATTTGCTGTTCCATTTCTCAGCAATTTAGAGCCATGGCTCTGCCCTTGAAGGTAACAGGACAGAGGAGGGCTCAAGGGCATAGATCAGGGACAATGGCCTGGCGGCAGCAACTCTGTTCTTCTGCTGTTGCCTCTGCACCTCCTTGTGTGTAAGTCAGCTTGTCCTCATGAGAAAACACCCGAGAGTAACAGGCTAGTGTAGGAAAAGTTTGTTTTAGCTCTCAGTAGCCCTGGTCCCTTGGTTCCTGCCTCTGGGGGTGGGGCGAGATACAGCAGGACGATGGCAATAGGTGAGGAAATAAAGCTGTTTACTTCCTGGTGTGTGGACAGCAGAGCAAGCGCGTGAGTGGCAGCTCCCACGGTCACATCTCCGTGACCTTTACCCAGCCCCCACTTCCTGTTTCCATCACTTCCCAGTCGTGCCCGCTAATCATAGTCTGGAGACAGAGCCCTCATGATGAGGTCACTGACCAAACAGCCTGTCAGCAACCGAGCTTGCTACACAGTGAGCCTTTGCAAGCAGGGACTTAGCATACTCAAACCATGGCGCTCTGAGAGCAGCCGGGACCCCGAAGCCCCATCTACCCCGGGACAGCTCCCTTAGCCCTTCCTCTTCTGCCTGTTATAACAGCTTAACAGCTGCCTGTTATAACGCTTTATGGGCGCATAAAGCAATGTCTAGAGCTGCATTAGTTGTCCTTTTATATTTGAAAGGGTGCTAGATTAAAAACGGGGTTGCGTTTGTTTTGTAGGGTCCCAGAAGGTAAATGAGAGGTAGCAGACAACAGAAGAGGCTTTGTGAAGGGGTGAAAAACCACTTCATGGAAATAATTTAAGAAGATACAAATATTTGCCACGGAATTTGTCAAGGAAATTAAGGGAGAAACCATCTGTCAAGTTATCTAGTCTACAGGCTCTGCTTAATATAGAAACGCTTATGTCTGTCATCCCGCATTCTGGGAGGCTGAGGCAAGAGGAGCATAACTTTGAGCCCAGCCTGGGCAATTTGGTAACTTAGCAAGATTCCATCTCTAAATAAGAGATTTTTTTAAAGTGCTGGGTGTGTAATTCAGGGTCAAAGTCCTATTTCAATCCCTAGCAGGAAAAGAAGGATAAAAGAAAATACCTTGTTTTTATTTTTCTCACTCTTTCTCTTTCTTTCTTTCTTTCTCTGTTCCTCTTCCTTTCTTTCTTTCTTTTTTCCTTCCTTCCTTCCTTATTTCCTTCCTTCCTCCCTTCCTTTTCTTCCTTTCTCTCTTTCTTTCTTTCTTCCCTACCAAAGGTTCAGTTCACATTATGAAGGCTGCTGAAGTTAGTTAAAATTACGAAGGTTGCTGAAACAACTTATTCTACAGTTAGCCAATCACTGTGTCTTCTAACCAACCTTGCTGCAATAAAAATGTCAACTTTTTGGGGGTTGATTAGAAAGTTAACCATACCTTATGAATTGGAGTACAGGAAACTTCAATGTAAATATATGTCCTCTTAAGGGGCACAACTTACTAATAAGGTGAGCATGGACCTTTAAAACATCATACAATTCCACTTTAATCCTTAGTTTAAAGTTCTGAGATTAATCACCATATTCCTGTCTATGTCTTTCCTGGAAATAATATTTTATTCCAAAATATTACAGAATAGTAGTAAAGCCCTACAAAATCCTTCCAGACTGATTTACAAAATGAAAATTATAGTATGTTATGGGGACCAATTAATTTTTAAATAGATCTGGCTTTCACATAACATTTAAATTATTTAATTGTGAAGCTATTTTGAGTTCACATCTCATTAGTACTGACTGGTATGGCCTAGATCCCCACCCCCTTGCCCACCCTGCGAAAGAAAAATACTTGTCAGTTTTCAATGTCAAGCACAATAACGAAATATTTCAGAAATTAGATCTGCCACCCAGGTTTATGTGTGAATCCTCACATGGTCCAGCATAGGCCTGAGCCTTTCTTTATGGTCCACTCGCTGTATTGTAATGTTATATGACCATGAAAATAGTTCAAGTTGTGTTTTTTAAATGGAATCACATATGGGAGAAATTGGACACCAGGAGCATTGTAGCCATGAATCAATGGTTTATTGTGCGTGACTTCAAATGGTGGATTTAAATGATGCTTAGAAGAAACGCTGGCATTTTTCCTCCTTTGCAGAGTTGGAACGCCTATGAATGCTTGCTTAGAAAGGTAAGGGTAAGCTAAATTTTACATTTGGAATATATCGCCAAATTTTCAGATTTTATCCACCATAAACCAAGAAATGCTGAAACTGAATTGTTTGTGGCAATGTAAGTTAGGATAAGCTGAGAGCCTGGACTGGGAAGGAAGCCCCTTAAATCTCATCCTCTTTCACTGTTAATTAGCTCCTGCAGATTTGTTCTTGGTGGTGGTGGTGGTCTTTTGGAGACAGGGTCTCACTATGCAGTTCAGGCTGGCCTCAAACTCATGGAAATCTTCTTGGCTCAGCCTCCTGAGTGCTGGGATTACAGGCGTACGCCATCATGCCCGGCTGCTAGCTACTATGATCTTGCACCAAGCCTTTAGCTTGATCTCTTCAATGATGGCAAAAAGGAGAGTTGGATGTAGGCTTGGAGATTTCTTCCTTAGTTTTATGACTGAAAAGATATCTGACATTGCTTGTGGGCACTCATCCCATCCTATGGGTTTTTTTCTATTTCTCTTCCCTTCTTCAATCTTTATTCTAATATTAATTTATAACCTGAACTGTAAGAATAAAATATATTAGACAAAAGTCAATACTCAATTCCACTAAAAATGAACAATTATTGTACAACCACACTTTTACATTTTTTCTTCAGTACTGGGCCTTAAACCTAAGACTTTCTTTCACACTGAGCTAGAATCCCTGCCCTCCTCTTTTTTTAATTTTGAGACCGGGTCTCAAGAAGTCCTTAAGTTACCTAGATGGAACTCAAACTTATAATCTTTTTGCTTGGGCATCCCAATTTTTACACTTTGTGATCACAAAAATCAATGTCCTCCAAGCTACACAAAAATAATTGGTTTACATTTCATTCATTCATCCATTTATTCATCATATATTTATTAAATAATTAATTATTATGCTTCTGAAACTATTATGATAATACATATAGTAATAAAAAATGACATAATTCTTAGTATTTTAGTATTCATAATCTATGCTGACAACAGAAAATATTTACGTATTGAAGGATAAAATTTGAAAAAAGCTATAAAAAAAGAAAAGTCTGAGCTGTGATTACAGATTGAAGCTGGGTTTTTCAGATACATTAGACTGGTTGGAGTTTAGTCATAATAAGTTTCTCCCATGGAGCCAGCACGCAGAGACCACCTTGTAAGCAGAAGATTTTTGTTGGGACTGTGTCAGCAGGAATGGCTGGCACCAGGGCCGTGGTTTTAGGCAGCTCACAGAATGCAAAGGACACAGAGCTGAGGCTGAACCAAAGCTGCTTTTGGATGTCTCCTATCTACACTCTGCTTGTTGGGGCTGGGGATTTAGCTCAGCGGCAAAAGCGCTTGCCTGGCAAGCGCAAGGTCGTGAGTTCGGTTCCTGGTACCGGAGAAAAACCAAAAAAACTACACTCTGCTTGTTGCACTCAGCATCCTCCCTGACTGCAGACCCTACCATCATCTCTGTCAAGCCGTCCGCTTGGGACGTTTGAAGGATTCAATTCTGCTTCTCTTCAAAAGACGCTGCAGGTCTCTGGTCTGAAGCACTGTAGCCCAGATAAGGGTCCCTCTGCTCTCTATGGGGACCCTGGTCATATCAAACGGCAGACACTGCTGACCTCTT